AAAAAAAAAAAAAAAAGATGGCAAGGAAGGCAAGAGATACTACAGCCAGGAACAGAAGATTCTAGCAAGTCTGCTACCCTCATGTTACAGAAGAGGCTCCATGGAGGCGGCCAGACCTGGGACAGACTCCATTGTGATGGGCCTTGGGTGGGCACGAGGGGATCTGCTCCTGCTTTGGAGCTGCTCTCACAGGATTGGTTTTCTGAGTTTGGGGAGAAACAGGACTTTGTCTTCCAGCTGGCCCTGAGGCTCCGGTAACAGAGGCACTCAGGGTGCTGGTGCTGTCGGAGGGCTCCTCCGTAGGGCAGAGACAGAGGTTGGTTGGGAGTGGGGTGGGGAGAAGCACCTAGGACTCCCCTCTTGAGTCTTCTCATCTTTCTTGGAAAATCTTACTGGGAGGCTCTGAGTAGGGTCTGAGAATTTACATATTGATGAGAACCCGAGCTTGGAAAATTCCAGACTTCATAGGTCATCACCACCTACCATCGGGATGCCTCCGTGCAGCTCCCTGATTACCAGACTCCCGGGTGGGGTCATGTCAACAGGGTCTGGCCCTCGGGTTTCCTGCACTTCCTCCCACTGCCCTCTCATGCCTTCTTCCACCTTCATATTCCTCTGGGTTCTTCTCCCTCTCACCCATTCTCCCTGTGATGTGCCGCTCTCCGCCCCCGCCCTGCGGGAAGCCACAGGAGGCCCTGGCTGTCTGATCAGGGAGAGACACCGAGAAGGTGACAGCTGTGGCCGGCTGCAGGTGTTTGTCAAGGGCGAGGCAGGCTTCCTGTGGGATTGGGGCAGGCTGGTGTGGGTGCCTCGGCGCTGGGGTTACAGGGAGGCCAGAGTCACAGGTAAGGAGTGTGTGTGGGGGTGGCCCAAGCACACCGAACAGCCTGTGATCATGCAGAGCAGGGACAGAAAGGACAGGACTGCCTTCCTTTCATTTGATTGCATTGAGTGTTTTTTAAAATTTAGATACAGTTTATATAGAGTAAAAGCATGGAGTCTTTCTGCCTGCCTTTTCTTAAAATCTTTTTCTACTCTCTACACCCCACCGGTTTTCTTGCCTAAGACTGAAGGTGTTAGACTGTGGCTGGGTAGGTTTCAGACCTGACGAGGTCCCTGGTGGAGCACACTTACCAAATTTGGTCACAGAAGAAAATCACCTCAGGGTACATCAGTGAACAGAATAGGCAGTTTATTAGGCAGAGTTCAAGAGTAAGAAAGTGGAAAAGGGATTTTAGCTTGAAGAACTGAGAGGGCACATTTCTCTTTTTCTGTGGCTTGCACACAGGGTCTCTGCACTGAGCTGCATCTCCAGCCAGTTTTCTATTTTTTTACCTTGAGACAGAGTCTCACTAAATCACTAAGCTGCTGAGGCTGGGTAGAACTTGGGATTCTTCTGCCTCGGCCTATCAGAAAGCTGGGATTACAGGCATGCACCATGTCTGGCTATGAAAGGGTTCCATTTCTGATGAAGAGGATCACACTGACCCATTCATAAAAGAATGACGCCAGCCTTTACGGGTTCACAAATGTGGGTCAGGGTCTGATTGATCACCATGTTGGTTCTGCTTTTGCAAGATGGCACAGGAAGAAATCTTTACCACTGAGGGCAACTCAGTCTGTAGATGCTTGTTTCTGTCTGGGGCAAGCTCTGCTGGAAGCCAAGTGTAGGGCAGTGACTAGAGACGTCTGGACACACTTGAATGCCCCGTAAATCTCTTTCCTTGGTGTCCTCCGTCTTGACGGAGGATGTGCAGGTTAGGTCACGGTTGACCAACCTATTTTGCAGTATTTAGACAGACACTATTCAAGTGAACAATATATCTACATGCAGAGCCTGATCTTCCCAAAGCTTTAAAGTGATAGAATGAAGGTCAAACTTTGTTCTGCCTTTTAACTCTCTACTGAGCATCTGTAAGCCCAAATAAAGAATCACTTTGTGGTGGGGAACTACTTTCAATTTCCCAACACCTCAGAAGAAAACACAATCATGCTGTTCATGAGTAACAGGTTAAGGATCCAGGAGTTTCAGCTAAGAAGATCACTGGTCTTTTCTTCAAAAGTATTAGGTTGCTCTTAAATGCGGCTGGTGAAATTTAAATTTCAGATATAGAATTTTTCCTCTCTCCAAGTTCAGATTTGGTTCCTTATAAATACAGTGATACCTCGGTTCATGAACTTGATTCTTTCCATGATTCTGGTTGCAAACTGAGTCGGATGGGAATGGAATCAAATTCACTAGTTAGGTTCAATGTTGCGCTTATGGGGAAATTGGATTCACTTCTTGCATAGTTTGGTTTGCGACTAGAATCATGGAGAGAATTGAGTTCGTGAACAAAGTACCACTTAGTTTTATTTTTCTTACATTAAATCAAGAGCTCTCCTCTTTAAGTATATTTTGCTGGCCATTTTATAGTCTTTGTTTGCTCATTCTTAATATTAGTCATTTTGGGGTCTGTATCTATTGCCTAATTTTGCTTCTGGTCATGGGTAACACACTCCTATCTTTGGAATGTCTAGTGATTTTGGGTTGGACATTGGACACTGTAACATCACAACTTTGTTGTCTGTCTTTGGTTGTTTTCCTTTACAGTGCAGTGATATTTGTTTTTGACCTACTACCAAGTTCCTTGAAGATCTGCTTGGTCTTGTCAAGGCATGTTTTTGAGCTTAGCTAGGGTGTGTCTAGTGTAACTTTAAAGTTAGTTCAGCCCTAACGATAATAAGTGATATTTCTGGGACATGACTGAATGCTGCAGGTCTGTCTACTTCAGATACAATCTGAATATGTTTCCATGCTTTGTAACCTATGAGAATTGCTCTGCACAGAGCCATTCGTGTTTTAATTTGCAGTTATGTGTGTTAGACCAGCCACAGGGAAATTTACCTTATGCACCCAGAGCTTAGCACTTCGCTGCAGCCCTAAGGAGACTATGAACATTTCTGAAGCTCTCTGTCGAATTTTGCTGCAAAGTTCAGCTTTCTCGAACTTTGACGTCTGTCTCCTGAACTCAGCAAACCTGCTATGTCTCCTTGCTTTTCCTCCTGTGCCAGAAAGAGACTTTGGCAGAAAAGGGGAACAATAACAAGGTTAACATTCTTTGCTTCTCTTCCCTGCCTGTTATCCAGGGTCTGAACTGCTTCTTGTATTTTTATTTAATGTTTGTTTGTTTATTTGTTTTCTGGTTTTTTCTTTTTCAGTCAAGGTCTTGCTACCTAGTACAGGTTGGCCTCGAACTCACAGCAATCCTCCTGCCTCAGCCCCTCAAGAGCTGGAATTATAGGCATGTGCCACCACACATTTATTTTTCAACGCCTCAATTGTTTCATATATTGTTCTCTGGTTTCTCCTTTCTGTTTATTTATAGTGCCACCCTCCGTTACTTTGTTTCTGACAAACGTATAAGTCAAGTCAAACTTGATATCTGTATATAGGTTCAGAAACCCACATCACCCTGACCTCGAAAGAGTCCCTTGTGCTCATTTTCAATCACTATCACTTTCCACAGGCAAACTATTTGTTTTATTTTGTTTCAGTTCATTCATTCACTCATTTGTTCGTTACACACTTACAGGACACACCAGTGTTGGTCAAGCAATGGGTGTGTAGGGAGAACAAGCTAGTCAAGTTCCCTGATTCAGGAACTGGGCAGTCTCATAAATAAACATGAAATGATGGGAGCAGTGCGTGTTTCATGCAGAAGCTGATGGTGGCATAAAGACATCTAGTAGAGCCAGGTATGGCGGCTCACGCCTGTAATCCCAGCCCTCTGGGAGGCTGAGGAAGGAGGATTACAAGTACAAGCCCAGCCAGGCCAATTTATTGACTTCGTGAGAACCTGTCTCAAAAAGGAAAAAAATGGGCTAAGATTGTAGCTTAGTGGCTAGAAGAAGTGGCTTAGTGGCCAGAAGGCCACTTAGTGGCTTAGTGGCCAGAAGACCACAGTCACTTAGTGGCCAAAAGGCCCTGGGTTCAAGCCCGAGTACCAAAGCAAAATGAAACAACAACAACGAAGAAGAATTAGTAAGAGGAACATTCCCCGTCTGAGTGGCCAAAGACAATTTTCATGAGAAAATTGTATGAACCAGGTCCTAAACAATGAATAGAAATTAACTAAGGAGAAATTAGAAGAAAGAGCTGGGAAGAACACTCCAGGAAAAGAACAGAATTCCTATGTGAGCATCCCTAAGAAATGTCCTGACAGAGAGGTCAGGAGCCAGGGCCTCTGATGCACCCTGGCAGAAACCAGACTGGGCTGCAAGCTGAATGAAAGGTTTCAGGATTCACTCTGAACAATGGAAGGCTATCAGAACATTTAAAAGCAGGAACACAATCTAGGCTTGAGTTTTAAAACTCAAGTTTAAAAAGCTGCCGTATGTAGAGGGAGTAGGGTACCAGAGACCTGCTAGAAGGTTTTCACAGTAGTCAAAGCAAGAGGCCATGATAGTCTAGCTAACCTGCTCCTGGGAGAAGCAGAGAAAGCAGGGGAATATTTAGGAGGCAAACTTGAAAGACTGGTAAAGGGTGCTGGGGAATTAAGCTGCAGGTGCTAGAATAACCCCAGGCTCACAGAGCTGCTGAAGTGGCAGTTGAAGAGAGAAAAGTTGAAAGAGGTTTCTGCGGGACTCTTGGGATATGATGGCCTTTGGGAAAGTCTGAGTTCAGCTGGGTCACACAGCAGGCACTGAGATTTATTTATAAACTCAGGAGGAGCTGGTGGGCAGGTAATGAGAGATACGGAGTTCAGAGGGCAGGCTGGCAGGAGATGAAGCCACTGTGCATTTGTATATCTTAGTGAGAAAGCCACCGTGGGTGTGATGAGGTGAGTCGGGACAGGCGAGAGCCACAGCCAAGCAACCACAAGCGGAGGCCCGCAGACATATAAGGCCTGGGCTGGGGTGGTGGAGGAGAGGAGCCAGCCTGGTGTGGAGGAGGAGGAGCAGCGGGGTGAGAGAGATCCCAGAGGACACAGTGGCAGGCAGCCAAAGGGAAGGGCAGCATCAGAAGCCCGGGTGGCCTCCGTATCTGCGCCGCTGGGAAGGCAAGTGAGACGAGCATGGGCTGCATGCGTCCGTCGCTTTAAGCCTTGGGGTCAGGCTTCTGTGAGCGCAGAGCGAGACAAGGAGAAGAGGGGAAGCTGTGGAGGCTGTGAACACTGGAGCTGCAGAAGGAAGCAGCCAGAGGAATGAGAGGAAAGGATGCTTTTCATTGTTTTGTGGCTGCAAAGCATTGGTTTGTCCGAGCAGGCAAGACGCGACCTGTTTAAAAGCCCGGGGCAACACTGAGAGGGGAGCTCAGTGTGGAAGAGAGGGGAGAAGGGTTCCTGGATGGTGTTTCACAGTCTGGCGGGGCTGCAGGGCGGAGGGGGAGAGGGGCTGGGAGCAGGGATTTGTGTTTTAAAGAAGCTGAGTCAGTTCTTCTGAAGGTCTCTCTTTGATGTGAGGTAGGAGCAAGGTCCTCTGCAGAGAGGATATGTGTGTGCACGGTGTGTGTGTGTGTGTGTGCGTGTGTGCGCACACATGTGTGCTTTGTGAAGGAGGCAGAGACTGTGCTTTGCTCTGTAGTCAGTGGGAAAGTGAGTCCACACCTTGCCAGGCAGATAGAGATTAGACATCAGCTTCCCAGTGATCAGGGATTGACTGAGGAGCCACTTTCCCAGAAGGGACAGCTGGTAGGTCCTACCCAGCTAGGACCTTGCAGAAAGAATGCATCACAGATGGAAGCCCTGCAGCTGGAAGGCCCTGGACAGCAATGAAGCCCTTGACAAGTGAGCTGGAAAGGGGGCAGAGGATGGTGGTGGGAGACGGAGCTGGGGACAGGGCCAGGTGGTGCACAGTAGAGCAGGACCTTGCAGGCCAGGAAACGGCTCTTGCCCTGAGCTCAGTGGGGAGCTGCTGAGGGGTGAGAAGGCAGTGCTGCACAGGGCGTACACTAAGAACCTGCCCCGTGCAGTGACGAGAGATTGGGGCTGGGGCTGCCTCGAGCAATGGGCTGGTGAGAGGCAGGGGCAGGTGGAGCAAAGGCCGTGGCACCTGGGAGGGGGCAGCCAAGCGAGGCTGACCTGGAGAGGTCAGAGGGTCCCTGTCACCTCCGCGGATGGATCTCACACACATACAGGCCACAGCAGGGCAAGGGGAGGGGGCAGGGGCCACCCCAGGAGGACGGGAGCTGGGGTGGGGGAGGCCAGGCAGGGCGGGAAGTCGAGTTTTGCGAGCCCACCGAGGGAGCCTTTGCTAGGATTTCCCCGAGAAAGCGCCCGGGCTGTGGGGCCCTGCCTCTGGATGTATCTCTCTCTTCCTTTAGACACAATTCCCACAGCATGAAGCACAGCAATCTCTCTGCCACTATTTCTTCCTGTCTTTCCCACTGTCCACACCTCCCTCCCCACAGTTTTTTTTTTGCTCCCCAGGAATGGATTACACATGAGTTGGGGCACTGTTGTTTTATTTCCTTTCACTTCCAGCTTGCTGTCTTCAGTGCGGATTGTCCTTACCAATTTGTTTTCAACAGTGCTGATCTTTTCTTCAACCGTAATGGGGTTGTTCTCAAACCTAGCTGGTGACTTTAACTTCTCATCGTGGTCTACCCTGAGGTTGGGAGGGGAATGTGACTTCTGACTGGCGTCAACATCAGGCGCTGCTACTTAATCTTGGAGTCCATGGACCCTGCAGACCCTGAGCTGTCACAGCAACCCCCAGCTCCTCCCAAGTGTGCTGCGGACCCCACCCCTGGAATTACTGTCAGTCACCGCTCAACAGACAGGAGAAACTCGGGGTCTCAGTCCTGCCTTCCTGGTGGTGGCTCCCTCCTGCATTCTGTGCGCGCTGTGCCCTGCCCTGTGGCTGACTGTTAGGGGTGGGTGGGGCCGAAAGTGGGTGCAAAGAGCAATGAAGGACACTCTGGTGGTTGCAGTGAAGGAGTATCCGCTCCACCCGAGTGCTGCTCCGTGCTAGCTCCCAGCAGGTCCTCTGCACATGGTTTCCTGTTTCTGCTGCCTCTCTCACCAGTTCCGGCCTTGTGACTGGCTGCTCTTGCGCTGGGGTCCTGCTTCACACAAACTTGTCCCTTCTGTTCCCTGGAGCTGCCTTGCTCTCATTCCCCTTGGCCCAACCACGGCAGCTTCCCCAGCCTAAAGCTCTCTTCTGGGCTTTTCAACTGCATCTTGTGTGTAAGTCAGCTTTCCACTGCTGTGACAAAATGCCTGAGAAAAGCGAATTAAAAGAGGAAAAGTTTACTTGGCTTATAGTTTTAGAGGTTTCAGTCCATGCTCCCCTGGCTGTGTGGCTTTTGGAGGGAAGGCAAGGTAGACCATCATGACAGTGAGACAGATGGGGAAAGAAGTGACCAGGGACAAGTACGCCCTTCAAAGCCATGCCTCTGGTGACCTACTTCTTCCAACTAGGCCTCTTCCCTGGAAGTCTCCATCACCTCCCAGTAGCATCACTAGCTCAGGTCTTGGGGAACATTCCAGATCCAAAGTATGACATCTTGTTAACATTTTTCAAGTCTCAGTCTGTTGTCACATCCTCTGGAAGCCTTCATTGCTGTGGGACAGGTGTGCCCAGAGTTCAGACCTTCTCATCATGTCCACTCTTCATACCTGGTTGTGTTTGCTAATTGCCCATCTTCCCAAAAGCTCCTCAGGGGCTGGGACCCTCCTCTCTGTCCCCACTCACACAGAGCCTTACCTAGGCCCGTGTATGTCAACCCAGAGCCCTGGATGCGTGCAGTGCACATCCTGAGTGCTCACAGACTGTAGACAGACATGCACGGCCGGTGATCATCTGTCTGGTAATAAAGGTACAGTCACATTTCAGGAGCAGGGGAAGAGAGAAGGAAGAGAGGGCAGAAGTCACAGAGGAAAAGGAGTGAACAGGGTGCCTTTTGAACAGGTGATAGCTAAGTAGTTTCCAAGAATAGGAAAGAGAGACTGTTCTATGATCACTGGAAGGGGAGGGGTCCCCCAGGAAAAGCCCCTTCAGTGGGGTGTGATGGGCAGCAGGGAGGAGTCTGGAGGCAGGTGGGCCATGAGCTGTCTGCTCTTGGAGTCAAGTACAGACAATGTAGATGGATGTGCTGGTGGGCAGTGGGTCGGGAAAGGGAAAGAGATCGATACCCTGAGAGTGCTGATGTAGGCAAGTTTCCACTTCTGTCCCCAAAGAGAGTCTGGAAAGGTGTGGTAAAGCCAGTGACATCTTTTTAATGGTGTAAGGATGGTGCAGGAACTGGGCAGGTAGGGGGCTGTGAGCAGGGCTGGGGAAGCTTCTGAAATGGCCCAAATCAAAGACTCATTCAGTCCTCACTGAAATCAGTAACTGCAGCAACAACAGAAGTAATGTATCGAACACTTACTGCATGCTGGGTCCCCTGCTGCTCTCTTCACGTGGTGATTCATCACAAGCCTCTGAACAACTCACTAAGGTTCTACAAAGGTGGAAAGGAGAACTGAAGTCACCCATGATGCACATGAGAGTTAGTTGCAAGCCCAAGTCTGTCCTCCTGGGGTTTCTAACTGCCATGAGGTCCTTAGCCTTGTCAAAAGAAAACATTACAGCACAACTAGTTTTCTTTGCTGGCTTTAATTGCAATTATAGAATTGATCTGCACTCTGAACCAGGGGTGGTTCAAAGTGTTTCACCCTACCACATGGGCAGGTTTAATTAATAGAGAAAAGGAAGTAACATATAGAAAACAGAAGTGAGGTACAGAGACAGCTGGATGGGTCCCAGTTTAGTTTGCAACCATCTCATTTGGAATATGATCTGGAGAGTTGGCAGCTTGTGATTGGCTGAGACTCAGCTACTTGTTACAAGAGTAGGTTACAGTCTACTTACCTACCAAGTTAGATTACAGTTCACCATGTATGGAGAAACCACTAGGCCAAATTTAGTTCAGTTTAACACTGAAATCCCCCAGGTGCCCAAGTCTTGCTGGATGATGCTGGAGGGGGTGCAGGCAGTCATGGTTGGAGCTGGATCTCAGCGGCTGAAGGTCACCAGCACTCAGGACACCTGGGAACCACAATTCTAGGGCAACTGCTTGTTCTAGGGTTCCACTTGGTGACAACACAAACACACCCAGAAATGCCTGTGACCTAGACAGGCAGTCAGGGTGAGAAAATGATCCGATCTGCACAAAAGGGGTAAAAACTATTTGGAGGGTGAGCGATCACTCGCAGTACGAGGACTGAGAATTTGCCAACTACTTTCACTCTCTTATTCTTACAAAACAAACCTTGGAAGCAACAACAGCAAAGACCATGAAACTGGGGATCTGAGACTTGACTATGAATTCCAGACAGCACACAAACTAACGTCATGACCTGGTGTAAGTTACACATCACACCCTCTCCCGGGCTTGTACCATCAACACAATAATGACGATACCTGTTTTGTGGGGTTATTGGGGGTTCAAATGAGGTTTCAGTAGAGAGCTGGCAGTTGGTAACGTGGGGAGTGTAGAAGGTTTCCTGCCTGCATCCTCAGCTTACCTCTCCTCTATGGTTCTCTTTCTTACAGACTTATTTTGTTTCCAGATGGCTTCTTCCTTTTATCGCCTCCTCCTTTTTGTTGGCCTCTGGGCTCTCATCTGCTGCAAGCCCCCATCCAGTTCCCCCAGCAGAGGGTCTCCACACCCTCCCTACACCAAGAGCAGCCCCATCTCCCAGGTGTCTTCCAGCAGTACCAACTTTGCCTTCCACCTGTACCGGAGACTGGCTCTGCAGAGTCCAGGTCAGAACATCTTCTTCTCCCCTGTGAGCATCTCCACCTCACTGGCCATGCTGTCCCTGGGAGGCCACTCCGCCACCAAGGCTCAGATCCTCAGGACCCTGGGCTTCAACCTCACAGCCACACCAGAATCTGCCATCCACCAGGGTTTCCAGCACTTGGTCCATGCAGTAAATATTCCCAACAAAGAACTGGATTTGAGGATGGGGAGCGCCCTCTTTGTCAAAAAAGGGCTGCAGCTACAGGCAAGTTTCCTAGACAGAGCCAAGAGGCTGTATGGATCAAAGGTCTTTTCTATGGATTTCTCTGAAGCTTTCACTGCCCAGAGAATCAACAGATATGTGGAAAAGGAGACCAAAGGAAAGGTGATGAACTTAATCCAAGACCTTGACCCTCTGACTGTCATGGTCCTGGTGAACCACATTCTCTTTAAAGGTAAGGATCTGATTTTGTTATGTTTGTTTGTTTGTTTGTCTGTTTGCTTAATCAAATGTCTAAGCCAGACAAGTCCTAGACAGCAGGGTGGAGTTATGGGAAGGTCTGAGTTCTAATTAGCCTTGCAACCAACTGGCTGGAAGCCCTTGAGTACTTCATACACTGCTGGCATATGTTTATCAATTAGGATGGAGGCTTAGTCTTTAGAAAGATTGTGTGTCCTGAGGGGCTGATGCACGGTTTGGTGGGCACCTCCCTGGAAAAGTCTTCTAGAAATTATCTTGGGATAAAGGGTCCGATCTCATTCTATCAGCAACTTCAGCTTGGAGGTTTTAGAGGAGTGACACAGAGCTCTCTGACCAGCCAGTGTAGCTCATTCATTTCATCTGTGTATCATGACTGAATGGGTAAGTGATAAAGACATACTCTGGGATTGTGATTGAGGTTGATGTACCTGAACTCCCTGTGCAGAGTTATGAATACTACTAATCATTCTTCCCTTCCTTTTTTCTCCCATTCCTTTCTCCTTCCCTCCATCTACCCATCAGTCCATTCATCCATCCACCAGCTCATCCATTTATCCATCCATTCATCTATCCAGCTGTCCAGACATCCATGTACCGTTTTACCTATTCATCTTTCTGTCCACCCTCTACCTAGCCACACATCTATCCATTCTCCCACTTACCAAACTATCCACCCACTTATCCATCCCTCCCATAAAAAAAGGAAGAGAAGGAAGACAATATACTTTGCTTCCTTACTAACTTACCTTCACTTTATATATGTTTTCCTATTTAACTTAATTTTATTGAAATGCTATCCACTTTCCATACCATTAACCATTTTATAGTGTTCAAGTCAATGGTTTGGCTTTTTAATATATTCACATGTTTGTGTTACTATCTCCACTATATAATTCTAGAACATTTTTACCACCTCAAAAGGAAACTCCATACCCATATACCGTTTCCATTAACTCAAAAGGAAACCCAGGGTTTAAAAATAATAGGAATATCCATTCCTACACATGCTCTTTCTTTACTATTTCTTGTCAGCTAGGTCAGCTAACAACAAATTCTTGCAATTTTTATTTGTCAGAGAATTATTAATTTTGCCTTTGTTGTTTGAAAGGTTGTTTTGCCAAATATAGAACTGCTGATTGGTAGAGTGTCTTGCTTTGCTTTGTTTTGTTTTGGTTTGGTTTGGTTTGACTTGGTTTTGCACTTTGAATATGTTATCCATCTACCTTCCGGTCCCCCTGTGCTATGATTTAAATCTTAAATGTTCCCCAAAGGCCATATATTAAAGCCTTGGTCTCCAGCCTGTGGAACTATGGGTGGTGGAACCTTTAGGGGCAGTTACACCTTTGAAGGGGACACTGGGACCACAGTTCCTTGCTCTCAGTCTCTCTTCTTCCTGACTGCATGAGGTGAGTAACTGTGCTCTCCTACATGTTTCCTGCCATGCTAGACTACTTCACTACAGGCCCAAACACAATGCAGCCAAGTGACCATGGACTGAAACCTCTGAACCTGTGAGCCAAGTGAGAGCTCCTCCTTTCAAATTGTTTATCTCAGGCTTTTCATCACAGTGACAGAAAGTGAACAAATCAATTTTCTGCTAAGAAATTGTCTGTTTTTTTTTTTTTCATTGAGGATACCTACATAAATTGCTTTCCATGATTCTTTCTTTGTTTGGATGGATATACTGTGTCTAGATAGGTATCTCTTTTAGCAGCAACTACTGGGAAATTGTTGAGTGTTTTGAAAGTGTACATTGATACTTTTCATCAAAATTGGGAGTTTTTTATGAAAAAATAAAAATTTCATAACACAATAATAATAGAATAACAATTCTTGATGACTGTATATTATTGTCTTCAAAGTGGTTACTCAGAGTACAAAACACAGACAAAAGAGATTCTCACAAATAAGCAAGAAACAGATAATTGCACAAAGCTTCCTTTTCAGTGGACTAAGAGAAATGACAGAAGGTTTTTGGATGTTCCCATGTGTATACTTCTATGTCTGATTGTGTTTCATAGGTCTCTGAGAGGTTTCATTTTTTTCTATCCTTTTCCCTGTGTTTCTCATGCTGTTTACCTATTTTACTAGTCACTTGCTTCTGCCAGCTCTAATCTGCCATTGACCTCTCCCATGAACTTTTCATTTCAATTATTGTACTTTTCAACTCTATTTTTTCACCTGACACTTATAAAGTAATTTCTCATTACTGATATTCTTTATTAGGCATATCATCCTTGTCATACTTGCCTTTAGATACACAGATATGAATTCCCTTAGCTGTCTGAGTAAGTTTTAAATAATTTGACAAAGAAGGGCAACATCTGGAATGCATTGAGAACAATTTTTATTGTTTTCCCCCATGTATGGGACATACTTTTTATTTCATGTCTTTTTTTATTAAGCAGGACATTTTAAATAAGGTAATTCAGCAACTCTGGAAATTGGTTTCTATCCCTCCCAGAGGCTGCTGCTGCTGCTTGTTGTAATGATTATTATTATTTTTTTTTTTTAGTGACTTTTTGTTTAGTGATTTTTCAAATTCTTTAAAGCCTGGGCTTTCTTATGTGTGACTGCTAAAGTTCTTCCTTGGTTAGTTAAATAGTAAGTTAGAATATGACAGAGATTTTTTTAAATGCCCCAAACAAATAAATCTCCCAATCATTGCTGAGGGTATCTGTGTATATGATGGATCTTGCGATCGACACTCAGCCGAGGAGTCTAAAATTGTCTTCACCTTTCACTTTCTGATTGTGCAGACTCCCGAGGTCATTTGAAGGTGAGAGCTCACAGCCTTCTCTGGGAACTAATGAATATGCATCCAGCTTTACACACCTGTGAGCTCACTGTGGACTCAGGGTGTTAACACAACTTTCCAAAACTTTTGTGGATATTTTATTCCTTAGTCTTTTATTTCAAATTCTTTGATGAGCCTATTGTTTGTCTTATCTGTTTTCCATCAGCTAGAAGATGTGAAGTTAAAACACTTGCCTGTAACTGTGTTTGACAAATATTCCCACACTCGCACTAAGAAAGCTCCAATCAGATGTGTGAGTGAGATCTTTCAAGGAACCACAGGATAGGTTCAGGAACAATCATTTTTTGATATTAAAGCTTTGAAAGTGCTCCAGCTCTAATCTGCTTCTTGTATAAGGCACACAGACTACTATTTTTCAGCGCTATTGCTGAGGGAGGAAGAGAAAACTGGTGCCAGCTAAAATGCCAGGAAGCTAGCTGTTCTCATCAAGATTCTCTCATTTCTCCTTGAATAAACTCCCCCCAGTTTGCTATAAGTCTTCAGTTAATTTCAAGATCTCTAAAAATGTTGCTTCTGAACATTTTTTTTCTAGTTATGCTAAGGGAAGGGTAAATATGTAAAAGCTCATTACACTATCATTTTTGCTGATATAACAACCCTAATTTGTCTTCTTAACCTCTTTGGTTAGTCTACTGTTGCTCTAGTTGCTATTTTCTCCTTAGGCAGCTGTCAAATTTATCGCTGCCTGTAACCTTTTTGGAAAATATTCCCTGGGGAAAAGGGTTTTTGCATTGGCCAAGTGTGGAAGTAGATCCAATACATCTTCACAAGTAATGTTTCTGGGATAGCACAATACTGATTGAATATAACAATTCTTTGGGAAAGAGATTTTAAAGGGCTCCAGCTGCATCTTTTTCCTGCAGTGGCTACCAAGCTGCTGGACTTCAGTGTAAGTGTGGAATGTTATTTTTCAAAACCATTGCAGAGCTGAAGAATAATGTATGTGACTATGATAAGTTGAAATACCATGAAATTTACTGTCCTCACCAAAATTCAGCTACTTTTCTGTGGCAGTTTGTTCCCCAGTTACCTGTAAGCATTTAGTCAATTTTCAGAGTTCTGAAAAAGTGAATGCTGACCATAGTTTTGCATTTTTTCATTGCTTTGGTGCAGAAATGAGTTCTCAGAGGTACTTACCTCTCCCCTTTTCTCTCTTCACCTCACTAATTGCACTTAGACATAATGACCTCTTTTTTCTTTATGCTAGCCAAGTGGATGAAGCCCTTTAACCCTGCAGATACTCATAAAAGCTTCCCATTTCTGGTGGACGAGCAGACCACCGTGCATGTCCCTATGATGCAACAGATGGGAACGTTTGCTTTCGGGGTGGATTCAAAGCTGAACTGCTCTGTGCTGCAGATGGACTTCAGGGGAGATGCCATGGCCTTCTTTGTCCTTCCTGGTGAGGGCAAGATGAGGCAGCTGGAGGAGAAGTTGTCAGCCAGGATGCTGAGAAAGTGGAGCCACTCACTCCAGAAGAGGTGGGCATTTGTGTCAACTGAGGGGACTTGAACCAGGTGATGGTGCACAGGCAAGGGTAAGGAGGAGAAGGACTGTGATAACAGTTGTTAAATCATCAGCCCTACAAACTGAGCATCTATTGCACACTGGTCAGTGAGCTTGGTACTTTGTATACATGTTCACACCTGAACACCACCATCACCCAGTAAGCGAGGGATATCATCATCTCCTTCTCTCCCCATACTTCACAGATAAAGAAAGAGTGGTTCCTTGAGGGTAAGTGAATCGCCCAAGGTCATATCACCTCAGAGCTTTCTTATCACTGTAGCTATTGTGTATGAACAGAAGCCGATCTGTTATCGACTTACATGGGAGGATTTTGTAAAAGCAAACAGATAAACAAACAAGAAAAACATTGGTCCTCACTTATAAAATCAGGATAATAATACTGCTGGATGTATCAGAGGTTGAAAAGATAAAATGTTGCTATTAATAAAGCACTTAAACAGGGAGAGTAGGCAGTCAGTAAATGTTAGCTAATGGCAATGTTAGTAGTTTTGTAATTATGAGGGAGGGCATGGAAAGGATTTGAACTACACGATGTAAAGAAATACCAAAGTCTTATTTTTAGTCTCTGAGAAATATTTTCTTGACAGCAACAACATCATAACAAGGTTTTTTTTTGTTTTGTTTTGTTTTGTTTTGTTTTTCTCCGGTACCGGGAACCGAACTCATGACCTTGCACTTGCCAGGCAGGCGCTTTTGCCGCTGAGCTAAATCCCCAGCCCATGACAAGGTTTTTGTACCCTGGGAAAAGACAGGATTGAGAATACCTGTCATTAAAGAATGACAATGGCCATTTTCCCCGTGGAGGACAGGCAGAGTGGGGGAGGGGCTTCTGAGCAGAGAGAAACCATGGTTAGCTGAGACTGCAGTAGGCTTCAAGTAGATAGTGATAGCATCTGAATTAACTTCGCGTAGCTCAATTAGTAATTTAAGTATGGGTGGGCATGAATGTGTGGAGGTTAGAAGGACATTTTTGGTAAAGGAAACAGAGGCAAAGATGTACAGCCAGGGACCCAGAAGTTCTACCCACTTCAGCAGTTTCTCCTCATCTCAGACTGTTCAGACCTAGGGGCAAGGAGGGGAGGCAGTGGGGACTACACAGGGGTGATGCACAGAGCAGCAGAGAAGCCCAGAGAGGATGAAGATGCCCTAATCAGCGCTGGGGGAAATGTGGACCGGGAGGGAGCTGTCCATGGTGTCACGACAGGGTTTTCAGATGAGGACTGAAAGGTGTTTCTTGGAAACTTTCATTTTTGTACTATGACAAAGTTTTCCCACCTGTGAGTGGAGGGAACCGCCGTTGAACATGCCTAGGATGGAGTCTGGGGTGCAGTGAACGTTCAACTTATACAGATGGTTTGCTCTTGGTTCAGGAAAACGGATGCAGAGGAAGAAAACATCATGCCAAACTTTAGAGTCATTTAGCTGTCTTCATGATTTACTTTCCTGACACTGTGGCCACCACTGTGTGTAGTTATTCAAGTTCCAGTGAAGTCAAATTAAAAGTTCAGCTTTTCTCTTGAGCTGGTGATGTTTCAGCTTGCTCAGTTGCCAAACGTGGCTGGTGGCTGCCATGTTGGACGGCATAGGCAGAGGAATATTCCCAAAGTTGCAGTGTTCTGTTGGCCTTGGCTCCTCTAGGGATTAGCAGGGCTCAGGAAGGGCTGCTGGGATGGCCCTAGCAGGAGGTATAGATAAGATCCCATCACCCTCTGATGCCTTCCATTGGTCTCTGCCTTGGGCTCCCTTGCTGGGCCACCTTCTCACTTCTGTCCCCTATTTCATTAGGGAACCCACTGGTCTTCTTGCATGTCTTTGGTGCTGAGCTTGGTAGCTGGGAGGTGGGCTGGGATACATGGGCCCCCTTAGTAGCAATCTGGTGCCTGGAGGAAGAGTGGGGTCTTCTGAGATGCCACCTAGAAGGAGAGCTGTAGGCACCAGGGGCTTTGACCTCACCTTTTCCCTCTCTCGTCTCCACAGGCAGATAGAAGTCTTCATCCCCAAATTTTCCATTTCTGCCTCCTACGACCTGGAAACCATTCTCCCAAAGATGGGTATCCGTGATGCTTTCAGCAAAAATGCTGATTTTTCTGGGATTACAAAGACAGGCTTTCTGCAAGTTTCCAAAGTGAGTTGATGGGGGAGATTATTTGTAGAGAGCACATGCTGGAAACACTCATAGACATGGCTGGTGGAGAGTGGAGGGCTCTCATTTCATGTGATGTGGAAACAGAGGCCCATGAGGTAAAAAGATCTCTTGGTGGCCCATAGAAAGGCCAAGTCCCACACCTGCCAGGCCCGTGGCTCGATGGCGACCATAACTCTGGCCCAAAGGCACCTTTCACCCTTCGTCAAACAGACATCCCCAAGATCCAACTACAGCTTTGCCTTGGGCATTTGACCTCCCTTCCTTCCTCGCTATGGTTTCAGTCCCCACAGATGCCGTCAGGAGGCTGCCCATGACCAAGGTAGACGTGGCGTTTGCTCTTCAGTGCTGAAAGGAAGAGAGAGGAGGCCGGGGTTGGGGAGGCAGAAGCAGAGAGGGGGGGGTGCCACTGAGTTTATCTTCCCAAGGCAACAGTGAACCCAAGCCCAAACACAGCCGCAGTCACCAGGGCTGAGCTGTGTGCATCTTTCAGTGACCACGTGCCCCAGACCCTGCAGGTCTCCTCATCTCTGGGGTTACTTGACTTGCCCTTGTCCACATACAACCCTCTGATCCTTGACCTAAAGTATTCATTTGATAATGGATCATAATGGTCTGTAGTAGTCTGGGGGCCCCTGAAAGAAACTTTTGTCATTGACCCTCAGGGAAGGAATGCAAAAAAGGTCCCAGTGGAATAGAGAGCAGAATGGAACTTTCCCCCAAAGAAAAGGCTTATGTGCCCCTACGGAAAATCATGCCTGTGCTCACAGGAAGTCCCCAGCCCCAATGACGCTCAGGAGCACAAGAGTCCCAGTCAAGGAACTTCTCCTTGAGAAACAAGAGAGATCAGCCTTTGGTATGCCCAGCCCAGGTAACAGTGCCAGCACTGGAGACACTGGTGTTTGTTTTTCCTTTGTCAGGCTACTCACAAGGCTGTGCTGGACATTGGTGAGGAGGGGACAAAAGCTGTAGCAGCCACCGCAACGAAGCTCATAGTCCGGTCCAAGGATACGCCCTCTTCTTCTGCTATAACCTTAAACAGGCCCTTCCTGATGTTTGTTGTGCAAGAAGACAGAAATGCTGTTCTCTTCATGGGAAAGATTGAGAATCCTACTAAAGCCTAGAGGGGACCTGACCTGTTGGCAAGTTATCCACTAATAAAGATGCACAGGAAATAACAACACTGAGCGCACTCCTACGGTGACACTGAGATCCATCTTCTCCTGGTCTAAGGGCCCACCTCACCCCTGCAGAGCTGTTGGGGTGGGGATGCCTGTTCCAAGGCACAACATCAGACTGAGAACACAGGTTCTGGTCTCAAGCCCCAACCCTGGACCCCAGGCAGTGTGGCCCTTTCTACCAGCTCCATGGAGCATGGCTGGGATGGTAGCTCCATTCCTCAGAGCCTAGGAAGGATGCCATGCAGAGCAGGTGGCTTTATTGCAGAATTATGGCAATGCAGTCAGAAACCTCAAATGTGAACCTAGCCAGAGCAGGGCTGCCTCCTACCTGTAGGGTCCTGATTTGATTGATGGGGTAACTCAGTGGCTGGGATGCACCCCCAGGACATTTCAGCAGCTGTGTGAATTCATTCTTCATTTTGTTCAACAACCTATTAAGCATTGCCTGTGTTCTAGGAATGAATCAGATGGATGAGTCCTGGGGATGTTGGACCTGAATGGAGAAGGCAGGTCACCCAAGAGCAATAGAATAAAATCCACACATAAGCAAGATATCAACAGATTAGGAGATGCACCTCAAATGCATCTCACAAGATTTGAGGGGGTGCTATGGGGGGCAGGGAGGTGTTGCATGAGCACAAAGGCAGTGAGCCGGGAGCAAGCAGAGGTATCAGAGGGGACAGAGGGAAGACCCTTTGCCTGGGGCATCGTGTGTCACAAACAGAATGGCAAAAGCTGAGATATAAGGGTCTAAGGAGGTGGACTGTGTGGGGAGGGCACGGTGGCCAATAAAAGTGGGCTGGGCTTGAGGGTGGGGAGCAGAAGGCCAGCTGGACACCTCTGGCAGGAAAATGACAAGGGCCTGAGGATGAGTTGTGAAGGTGTCCGCTAGCACTGGCCATCTTCCTAATGGACACTGTCACACACGCACATGTGCACACAGCCCTCTGGGTGCTCAGCTCCTCCTTGGTGGCTTGTAGTGACAATAGTCTGGATCCCTTTTCTGTGTCCTGAGAGCCATGGACAGTGGCTACGGTGACATTTAGGCTGAGGTAGCTTATGGTGCTCCTTCAGCTGTCTCTACCATCCCTCCTGACCCCTGTAGCAGGTGGCCACATCACCTCTCAGCTGGAGGGTATCTCCCAGGCACCCAAAGGCCAAGAAACTCCTTTCCTGGGGCACCTATGCCCCTACCAGCCCTGGATGCACCATCTGGGGCTTATGCTGGCTTTCCCATGTGCTTTTACATGGAAAGGAATAGCCTGTAAGGGATTATGCTGGGCAGCTGGCAGAAGCTGCAGAGGCCCTGAATTTCCACAGCACCCCCTACTCTGTCTGGTCCACAAAGAGCCAAGCAGGGGCTCCAGGCAGGAAGACAGATGACGGGCCCAGGCTGCAGAATCGCAGGATCAGGATTAGAACCAGGAGTAGAGCTCTGCCACAAGAGGTTACAGCCATAACAGAGCTTCCTCCGTGAGGGTCACGGTGGAGGACAAGCCACCCTAGCTCTCAGAAGCACAGTGGGCTGTACAAGGCTCAGTTCTGTCTGTGCTCAGTGGCACACAGGGAATAGCAGGCATGAAGAACTGGCTAGGGACACTGGGTTTCTCAGAGTGAATCCTTTCTAATGACCCTCGGAAGCACCACAGTGGGGTAGGAGCGGGCCACCACCTCCCCCAGCCTTCTTACAGATGACATTACAGTGGCAGGCAGGAGCTACTCATTGGACACATGTCAGCTAGCAGGTGCAAACTCAGCCACAGGCCAGGTTCCCTTGTGGGGGAGGTTCCCCTCACTGTTGCTTGAGATGTTTCTCTTGGTCTGTTTTCAAAGGTATCTTGTGGTTGTTTTGAAATTTGTTGTAATCTGGTATAATAGGACATCAGCCAGAGTCAACTGTTTTTGGAGAAACATTTGGCACTTGGATTACCCAAGAGGAGGAGGCTCATCACCCCACACAGCATCACTTGGGAGCATTGGGGTTGTTCAAGAGGAAGAGAGCCAGGGGAAGGCATAGGCGTGGGCCTCTGGGACTGCCATGGTGGAAGGGGCAGAGTGGGACCGCCCCCTACAGGGCAGGAAGTGAAACTGAGCTTGGGGCTTGGGGACGGAGGGGTTATAAAAAGGCTCTCTGTCTTCACTCTGTAGGTGGTTTCTTTTGCTGTGCAAAAGCATTTTAATTTGATGTGATCCCAGTTGTTGATTCTTTGCAATATTTCCTGTGCCATTCATAAAGTTTTTGTTCCTAAAGTCTTTGCCTACATCTATGTCTTCAAGAGTTTCCAGCAGATTAAGTATTTCTGTTTTAATATTTAGATTTTTGATTGATTTTGATTTTAATTCAGAGCATGATGGGAAAAATTTTTTACCAGTTACTCTTCAGACAAAGGACTAATATCTAGAATATATAAAGAACCCAAAAAATCAGTTCTTCCCAAATTTAAAGACCCAATCCAAAAATGGGCAACTGAAATAGATACTTCTCAGATAAAGAAGTACAAACAACAAATAAATATTTGGAAAATGTGCTCAACATCACTGGTCTTTGAGAAATGCAAATTAAAGCAACACTGAGATTCCACGTCACTCTAGAAAGAATGGCTATCATCAAGAAATCAACCAATAACAAATGCTGGCTAGGCTGTAAGGAAAAAGGAATGCTTCTTCACTATTGCTGGGAGTGTAAACTGGTATAACCACTGTGGAAATCAGGATGGAGATTCCTCAAATAACTAAAACTAGGGCCAGGGATGTAGCTCAGTGGCACAGTGCCTGCCTGGCAGATGCAAAGTCCTGAGTTTGATTCCCAGTACCAAAAAAAAAAAAAAAAAAGAAAGAAAGAAAAGAAAAACTAAAACTAAAATTAAAAGTTCCATTTGATCCAGCTATTCTCCTTCTAGGTATTTTCCTGAAACCATGAAAAGCATCATACCACAGTGATATATGCATACCCATGTTTATAACAGCACAATTTGTAATAGCTAAATCTTGGAAACAGTCTATACGCCCATCAAATGATGAATGGATAAAGAAAATGTTGTATTTATGTACAACAGAGTACTACACTGTCATAAGGACAGATAAACTTGAGATGTTTTTAAGTAAATGGCTGCATCTCAAGACCATAATTTTAGGGGGCTGGGGATTTAGCTCAGCGGCACAGAGCCTGCTTGGCAAGCACAAGGTCGTGAGTTCGAGTCCAGGTACCAGAAAAAAACAAAAACAAACAAACAAAAAAAACCATAATTTTAAGAAATAAATCAGGCACACAAGTTGGAATATCACACTGTTTCTTTTGTGTGAGAAACTCAAAGGATAAATAAGGGGTAAAATGAACCACAGCTATTGGGAAGTAGGAAGAACATGTTCAGGTGAGCAAGGGAGCAAATTAGAGGGGTGGGGGAAAGGAAAATAGAGAAAAGAGATTTAAGAAAGAAAATGGAGGAAAAATGGAAACAAAGCTTTTGTAAATGGGGAGGAGACAAAGCATTGAAAGGAGGGGAGGAGAATTGAGAAAAATTGATATATTATAAACAGGTTCAAATTCTCCATGGTGAATATGATCATTATGTATGGGAAATTATAGGAATAAAAATAAAGTTAAACAAAAATTTTAAAAAAGAAATACAGGGGGCAGAAGGAGGCTCTCAACGGAGTAGAGGTGCATGCCTGTAATCCCAGCACCCTGAGTAGCTGAGGCAGGAGGATTACAAATTCTACCTCAGTAGAAATGAGTGAGATCTTGTCTCAAAATAGAAAAGGACTGGGGATGTCGCTTAGTGATAGGGTCTGCGTTCAATTCCTATCACCATAGGCAGAGAGGCAAGAGGCAGGGAGAGGGGGAGTTGGGAACAACAGTGGCTGTTAGTTTGGCCCATTGAAGTCATGGGTGAATGATTACTGCAGCGCGGCATAAGCATTTCACCCCAGGCAGAATGGCAATATTCAAAAAGTAGATTCACCTCACCTGGTGAGAGCACTTTGATAAAACCTCCAAAAGGAATCCATGCAGATAGGCACACCAAAAATAAGTCCAGAATCCTGAGTGTAGGGCAGCAGCCCCTGCATTGTACACAAACGCCAGAGACCCCTGGGCAGTGTTTCCAGCCAATCCGTGCATTCTACACACCTCTTTCTCTCTGTTTAGCCATTCGTTAGGGTCATAGCGTTCTCTCTAACCAGGCTTATCTGCGTCTGCTGCCGCGGGAGTGTACTTTTCAAAGGCTAAGGGGCCCTGCAGGATCTCTGTTGCTCCAGGATCCAAAGCTGTTGAAGAACCACCCTGGAATGTAAACAAAAACAACCATGTCCCTTCATGCCTGTGTAGGAGTATTTCAAGGTGCATCTCAGACACTGTGGGCTGATCCCCCCAGGGACTGGGTGTGTAAATTCTCGGGGTGGATGTGATTTCTCCACCTCACCCACCGCAGCCCAGGGAATCCGTATGCAGGTGTTTCATTGAACCAAGCACATGGCATGGACCAGGGTTCAGTAGAGAGCTCATCCTGCTTGGTAGAGCTTGTGACCTGGAGGAGGACAAGAGGAACAATTGCAAAGGCGATGGCCCATTAGGGCCTTCCACTAAGTTCCAGCACAAGAGGCTGAAGATGCTGTGTGGATCAAAAGCATCACTTGGGTACCAGCACCGAGAGGCCCTGAAGGCAATGCGGCCACCCCAACAGTGTCTCTGCCCCACAGGACCCAGGACAAGCAAGAGTGTGTGACAACAAGGGCTTCACATGCAAGACAGTACACAACATGGGACCAGGGACAAAAGCACTAAGCTTGGGAAGGAGGACTTCAAAGGTCTATAGTCCCAGCTCCCAGGTTGGAAACCCAGCCCTACCGCTGCCTAACTGTGACCTCAGGGACTTTGCATAATCTCTGTCTGCTTCACTTCCCTCCTCTGAAAACTCCTAGCTCCTGTGTCACTAGGTTGTCCCATGAGTAACACAGACAGCACTTAGGAAATTGCCAATCGTTGTCATTGTTACCCATATCTGCCAAGTTGTACACCAAAGATGTTGCAGTCTCTAGCTCATTTCCAGGGAGTTAGAAGTGAAAAACAGGCATTGCCCTGAAGGTTGGCCCACCACTGCCTCCTCCATCCCCTGAAGCTTTGTTCACACTGAGTGGCCAACATTCTTTCTCCACGAATGGCTCAGAACTGTCTGCACATGGGGTCCTTTCTCGTTCTTGGTGTATGGCTGATCTCTGGTGACAAAATACCCCTTCCCCAGTCCAGAGGATCCCACTGCAAATGGCTCCAGAGTCCAGCTTGAAAATGAAACCCACAGGGGCTGGGGATTTAGCTCAGCGGCCCAGCGCCTGCCTGGCAAGCGCAAGGTCATGAGTTCGATTCCTGGTACTGGAAAAAAACCAAACAAGAAAAAAGAAAATGAAACCCCACAAGCCACGTGAATCAGCTGAAACCAAAAGTAAAATCTCTCTGCGCCACCAAACTAAAAAAAAAAGTTGCATAAGAAAGGATGTCCGTGTTGCCATTCTTGACAATACTGTAATTATGGAAGACAAGAGGAAGCATTTAAAGAATTTTCAAAAGCCCTTAAGTGTTCACTGCCTGTTTAGTCTGGGATCTATTACCAAAGATGGGAAGTCACTGGCCAGGGAGCCCTGGGTTAGAGGCACAGCTGTGGCACCAGGCAGACTCTGCGTGGTCCCTCCAGCTCTGCGACCACAAGTGAGTCGCTGACCTGCTCCGTGCCTGGCTCCTCATCTCTAAAATGGCGTAATAGCATCCGCCTCCTGCGGCAGTTGTGAAGATTGAGCAGATGCTGCAGAGCGGATGTGTGGCGCAGTGCCCACCATGGGAAGTGACTGCCCAGCACCGGGGGACCACTGTTGCTGCCCCGGCATCACAGAAGCATCTGGGCAGAGGTAGGACAGGAAGCCACACCTCCTCCCTCCTCGATCTCGGCCCCTGAGCTCCAGGTGACCCCGACACATTGGCAGAGGGATGGTCCTCGGTGGGAATGTAGGTTTGTTCCCCTATGGTGAACACGGGGTCCTTGAGGGCAACGGGGTGCACTTGTGCTGGGCTTTGGTGTGCCTGCTGTGTGCTGGCTCCTGGTATAATCACAGATTATGACCGGGTCATTTCAACAATGATTTTACAGACAGGAAGGACATAAGCAGAGGATTTTGCAAGCCAGCCTGGTAAGAGAGAAGTAAACCCAGGTATGGTGGGGGCTCCCAGGAGGGAACCTAATCCAGCTGAGGCAGAAGGGGAGAGGGCAGCTGTCAGGAAAGGCTTCCTCAAGCAAGGTCTGAGCCCTGAGAAGTGGGCAGGAGCTGGTGTTGCTGAGAAAGAGGAGGAGCAGGGACAGGGTTGGAGGCCGAGGGACAAGAGTGTGCAAAGGAGAAGCAGGCCCGCTGCTTCTCAGAGTGACTCAGTGCAGCCTGAATGCAGAGCTCCCAGGAGTGGCAGGTGAGACGCCAGGTGGGACAGGCACCAGAAGGCATCCTGGAAGGGCTGTAGAAGGGTCTCCCTGAAGCCTGAGGTTGGGGACAATGAGATTTCAGAGGGCAGAGTAAGTGCGGGGTGTCTAGGCTAGAGCCAGGGGACCAGGGAGGATGGTGACAGAAGCCAGGGTGCAGGTGGCAGAGGAGACAAGGATTGGTGGGACAGGGCAGGAAGCAGGCACTGGAGAAAGGAGGGCAGGGGGGCCCTGGCAGCAGGCAGGGAGGCGTGGCTCCCCCAGGAGGCTGGGCCTGTCCTATCCCAGACAATAGCCACTGGTGGGGTAGCCATATTAGGGATCAGGCCCTGGGGAGAGGACCCTAGAAGCAGGACTCAGAGCAGCCTCAGTTTGGGGAAGTGGGGCACAAGTAGCCGGGAGATTGTGGGGGGAAACAGAATGGTTCCCTGGGCCTCATGGATTTCTCCGATTGCCCTGGCTGCCAGAAGAGTGAGAACTGCAGAGAACACGACACAGCCAGCAGGCCGCATGTGTCGGGTGCCTGCTGCGTGCGTTATGGGATCTAGCTCTAGAACCACCTGCAACACAGATCCTATCTGCCCCCTTCCTGAGGCTTAGAGGTGAACAAATTCTCACGTAGTGCCTCGGAAAGATCCCTGAGAACAGACTGAGATTCCCCTCCAGGCCATGCAACTCCAGGGCCTGCTTGGAGAGGACACTGGGCCCAAGAGCCTTCTATGAGCCTGGGGTGGGGTATTACAGGACCCTTTCTCTGCACAAGAGGTTGGAGGGCCTGGTCGGGGTGACATCGCACACAGCCTCAGGCTTCCCCTTCCTCCTCCATCACAGCCCTCTGGCTCCTCCTCAAGTCTCCCACGTGGGGACATCTGGACGGGAATGGGATTTTCCAGAGGATCCACAGTCTCCTTCCCTGCTCCATACTCCTTTTCCTCTCTGCACCCCCTCTTCTGCACGGGTGAAGCCTCTCTCGCACCTCCATTCACCTCAAGTCTCTGCTGCCCGTCAGTGCTATGAGGGGTCCCTTCTCTGTACTACCAGGAGGGACTGGCATTGTGGTCTTGCTGAGAAGCCAGTGGCTGCCCCTGCCCTGGGCCAAAAGCACTTCCTGACCCTTGTCCCCAGCAACACCGGCTGGCTGTAAGGCCAGCTGGAGCGTCCCCAGCACGGCTGGAACATGTGCCCTTTATCCTGACTCTCCTCAAAGCCCTGCATCCCCAGGGCCTCCATCATCCTGTAGTCCAAAGGATGCTTCCCAGTGCTTGGCCAGGACCTGAACTCCCCACATTCTTTCCAGAGGGACCATCAGCAGACCAGTGACAAACATGAATAGCTCTCACCGTATTGTGAGTCAGGAATCTGAATCAAGTTTTCAGGATGTTAGCCACCTGGACAGCAGGTAAGAAAGCACAAAACTGAAAAAATTCAGCTCTCAATCAGGGAGTTTGACCGCTACAGACACACAGGCCCGCTCTCTCACAGCAGAATAGGGCTCAGCTTTATGCTTTAAAGTGCCCCAGGTGGGCGGGGGTGGCTTGGGATGTAGGTCAGTGGTAAAGTGCTTGCCTAGCATGTCTGAGGCCCTGGGAAGGACCCCAGCCTCCCCCCAAAAGAAAGAAAGGTTCCTCTTAGAGAATGAAATGATTCTGCTTTTCAGCAGTGATGCTATATTGTAGTAAAGAGGATGTGTGCTCCCTGTAAGACATTTGGAGAACAAGAAAACCCACATGGAAGGACGTAAGCGTTAACTCCATCCCATCATCCAGAGACTCTCCCAAAGAAATATTCAGCTGCGGGCTTCTGAGTGTCAGGGGTTGGAGGAGCCCTTGATCCCACTTCATGGGGCTCTCAACACAGCAGTAGGGGAGCGTGTGCTGTGCTTTCTGAACTTTCCATCAGCTCCTCTCGGTCTCTGTCTCTTTGTCTCAGGGTCTCTGTAGACTGTTTTTATTCAAAGTGTCAGCGAAGCGCGGGATGCGTTGGTGTGGACAGGGATTTGGAAGCAGACCCGTCTTCACCTTCCCTCTATAAAGGAGAGAGAGCTGTCCCGCTCCTGCATTCCCCTCTCCAGGGTGACTGATGCCCCAGGGCAGGGGACACAGCCAACAGCCACTGCATACCACCCCCTGTGTTGCCGGGGCACCCTCAGACTCAGCCGCATCCCGAATCACGGGGCCCCTGCTTGCTTGTTGGACAGGTAGCCGGGACAGACGCTCTGGAAAAAATCCCTTCCTACGTACCATGCTGTCTTCACACCAGCCAAGAATCAACCCGACAGATATTGACGGGGCTGCTGTGACCCGCAGAGGCCCCTGTCGCTGGGGCTGGCAGCTGTGTGGGGCCGAGCTTTGGTGGCTCTGTGAGCAGCTGTGCGGGGTGACTGTGCTCCGGGAGTCCCACACCTGCGCTGGAGCAGCAGGGAGTAGCCACCCCTCCCTCCGCCTCTTGCGTCCCTGTCTGTCTGTCTGTCTGTCTGTCATCTCTCTTTCTCTTGATTTAGAGACAAGGATGGGAGAAGTGGGTCCCCTGAAGGAAGAGTGCGAGTACTACTTTGGAGTCTGAAGTTGGAACTTGGGGTGCTCCACAGCCTCTTAGGGGAAACTCAGGCTTCCAGACTTGGGGAGAGGAAATCTCAGTATCCCTGGTGGCCTGACAAGAATGCACAACGAACAACCAGAAGCCAAATGACCCAGGAGCTCTGGTATGTGACCAGGGCCTGCCTCACAAGCCCCTGTCTGGAGCTAAATCGTGCTCCTCCTTCTTACTAGGTGTTTGTCCTGAACCTGAGTCTGGATTTCCCCAAATATACAACAGGTAAGAATCCCTGCGCCTTAAGGATTAAATGAAACAACCCAAGGCCAGTGTTTCTCCACAAAGGGGCCGCTTGATGAGGCCCTCAGAGCCCTCACGTATCTGAGTCAGCGACTAAGCCCCCATGGCTGAGATGACCCGAACACCACCACCCCCTCTCCCACGCCCCTCGTGCCACACTCTTACAAAGTGTCCAGCACTGCCGCACTTTCACAGATGCTTAACTAGCGGAATACTGTCGTTAATGAATAGAGTTCTTCATTTTCTTCTGGAATCTTCCAGCAGTACAAGCTAAGCTAAGAAGTGCACTGGACATCATCGTGCCCAGCCTTGGTAGGAAGGGAAGACAACTCTCACTGTGTCCTTTCTGCGTGCCAGGTTTATAAAACACCTGTCACATAGTTTAGATGACACCACCCCAGGAAGCAGGCGTGTCACCTGTATGTTTTCAAAAGAGACGGTTTCAAAAGACTGTCACCCAGTGAGCTGCCCTCGGTGAAACTCAGGATCTTGTCTACAACTCAGCCCTCTTTGGGAACAGAGGCCCGGCAGAGCTCGGGTCCTGGCTTGGGGTGTAGTCGTGGGAGGAGAGGGAACGGACCAAGTTAAATGCGAGCACAAGCGCACCGAGCAATAGTCTCCCCACGTTGCGTTTCTCACTTTACTCGGGGCAGACCGAGTTTTCAACGGTTCTGCATCCTTCAGGATTTTCCCTCGAGGAACTGTCACTAAGCCACCGGCACAGAGCTGTGCGGAGGGAGGGGACAACTCGGGGAACTGTCACTGCACTTTGACCGGCCGCCGCATTTCAACATAAGGGTGAGCAGAGAACGTCCGGCACTTCCTGGAGGCTGGCTTTTGCGGCCGCAGCACGCTGAGGGCGCCGGGGCTACACCTCCTCCAGCAGTGTGCTCTCCCTCACGGTGCAGCAGCAGTCCCTCATCCAGAGGTCACTGGTCCCGGCGAAGAGTGTTAAAGGTGCTGACTGCGATGCAGGTGTTTTCAGGACAAGCGAGCAGCCCTGATGGGGGGTGGCCAGTGGGCGGCCGGCAGTGGGCGGCGCAGTGTAAGGGGTGGTTTCAGGGGGAGCAGAAGACACCAGGGTGTGGAGGGCCCAGGTGGCAGTGTATCCACTGCAGGGTTTGGGGATGTGGGGAGGGGGACAGCTGAAAGGGAATGGAGGACACGGGCGCGAGAGCAGAGACACGGGCTCTGTCCCCTGGATCTTTCCGCTGCCTACATCAGCCATGAAGCGGGGCCTCCCGCTCCTGCACCACGCTGCCCCCAGCGGTGACGAGAGGCCCTGCAGCTCCTCTTCTAAACTTTTTTTTTTTTTATATATATACTGGGAATCGAACCCAGGACCTTGTGCTTGCCAGACGGGCACTTATGCCACTGAGCTATATCCCCGGCCCTCCCTCTTCTAACTGGCGAGCGCGCAGGGCTCTCCTGTTGATTTGCAGGGGCTGTCCTGACAAAGTGACAGGGCTGGTTCCTCCCGAGGACAGGAGGAAAATCTGATCCAGGGCCCTTCCTTGACTTCTCATGCTGGGATCTCCGGCATTTCTCGGATTGTAAAGTTGCCCGGGCCCTGCCCTCACCTTCACGTGGTGCTCTCTGTGCGTCCTTGTGTCCAAAGTCCCCCTTCTCATAAGGACGCCAAGCGCAGTGGACTAGGGGCCTGCTCAGCGACCTCGTCATAACTAATTACACCTCCAGTGACCCTAGTTGGAAGCAAGATCTCGTTCAGAGGCCCTGGAGGGTGGGGTTCAGCATGAGTTCTGGGGAGACACAGGTCGACCCTTAATGGACACCCTTTCTAAAGCCCTTCACTGACGCAGGCAGGGCTTTCAGCCACTGGACATGGCAGTGTGTGTCACCCCAGGTAACAGTGGCTTCATGGAGACATGGCCTCTGTCACCTCTCCTCCTGGGACACATTCATCCTGTGTCTTTCCCCTCCTCCTTCCTGGGCTGCCTTCATCCGCACGGCCCTGATGCCTGACCACTGCAGCCTCACTGTGCTAGTGAAGACTGGAAGAATAGAGGGCATCCTCTTGTCCTTCACATGTGCCCCTTTTCCACATAGTTCCTGGCCAGGGCTGGGTTCCGGGGAGCCCAGCATCCCTCACTGTCCACAGCATCCAGAACAACTGCTCAGAGCACCCTATGGAGTCAGGAATTATGTTTATTTCTTTCCTCTTTAGATACCCAGTACTTAGAGACAGATGCTTGAAGTTATAAATGATTGAACATGCCTGGAAAGAAGAAATAAAAAAGAAAGGGAAGGGAGGAAGAAAAGAAAGAAAGAAAGGAGGGAGGGAAGAAGGAGAAAGGAGAAGGGAGAAGGGAAGGGGAGGAAAGAGGAAAGGAGGGGAGGAGAGACTGGAAGTTTATTTACAGCTCAGAGACTTTTACTCAACAAAATCTGTCAGCAGGTGGAGCAGCTGAAGGGCCACTGCTCTGACCAGGGCCTAAGCACACCTCCACAGTGGACCTGTGGCATCCCTCGGGATACAGCTGGAGTGGTGGGGTCACTGAGTGAGCAACGGGAAATGCTGAAGTCGTTCATGAAGAGTGACGTGTCCGCCATCTTGTTTTCAGAGAATGGGCCCAGCTTGGCCGTGGCTGCTGGGAGCCGGGGTCCTGGCCTCTGTCTGCTGTCAGCCCTTTCCTGTCCATGGAGATAAGAACCCCGGGGTGCCTCAGACCTCCAGTCACCAGCTTGCAGAGCTAGCCCCTGCCTACCACAAAGTTGTGCCCACCATTACCAATTTTGCTTTGCGTCTGTATAAGCAGCTGGCAGCACGCACCCCAGGAAACACCCTCTTCTCCCCAGTGAGCATCTCCAGCACCCTGGCCCTGCTGGCTCTTGGGGCCCATGGTGACACCCAGACTGAGATTTTGGAGGGCCTCGGCTTCAACCTCACGGAGACCCCAAGCCCCGACATCCACCAAGGCTTCCAGAGCCTCCTCCGCACGCTTGACCTGCCCAGCCCCAAATTCGAACTAAAGGTGGGCAACTCCTTGTTTCTAGACAAGCAGCTGAAACCTCAGCAGCGCTTTCTGGACAGTGTCAAGGAGTTGTACGGAGCTGTGGCTTTCTCTGCTAACTTCACGGACTCTGCCACAACGGGGAGGCAGATCAACGAGTTTGTGAAGAAGCAGACTTATGGGCAAGTCTCAGACTGTTTCCAGGAGCTGGGCCACGACACGCTCATGGTTCTCCTCAATTACATCTTCTTCAAAGGTGAGGACTTGTCCCAGCAGAACCAGGGCGGCTGACTCCGCCAGCGAGTGTGCTCACTGCCCGGACAGCCGAAGGCTTTGTGCCATGGCCCCCGGGGTCCGGTTGGCCTTTTGGGAACATCTAGGAATAAGACAGTTTTCCTGCCCTTGTGTAGCTCAGATCCCATGTGGTTTGGAAACAAGAGGCTACGCAGGTCAGAAAGATAATGATGGCACCCTTCTTGTGCAGGTCTGGGTGCCCTGCCCGGTCCTGGCTCGGGGAGTGAGGGCAGACTTCCTGGAAGCAGGGCATGTAGCAGAGACAGGAAGACTGGGGCAGGTTAGTGCAGATGAAGAGGCTGTGTGAGAGGTGGGAGAAAAGGTTTGGCTTGAACAAAACACATGGGAAAAGAGGCACTGTTGCACTTCTCAAAGAATCCACATTGACTGAGTTTGACTCCCTGCAAGGGGGGAAGGTACCAAGAATTGCAAAGTTGAGCAAACAGGGACCACACTGAGGGTCCCAGACCCTACTCAGGGTGCTGAAGCATGCCGAGTCTTAAGCAGTAGAAAACCACATTACATTTGTTTCAGAAGGCTCCATCTGGCCAGGTGCAGTGATATGTGCCTAAAGCCCCAGTCATTTGGGAGGCTGAGGCAGGAGGATCCTTGAATCTGGGAATGTGAGATCAGCCTGGGAAACATAGTGAGACTCACCTTAAAAAAAAAGTCACAGCAGTCTGGTGACAGTTTGGATAATGAATGGAAGTAAGGCTGGGAAACATAATTAAGAGGTTCTCGAAGTGGTCAAAAGTAAGTGTGATGGTGGCCTTGAATCAAGCTTTGATTGGGTATAAGCGTGGGGGCCAGGATGACTCCGTCCGCTCCACCTGCCACCAAGGCCAGTACTTTTGGAGGGGGGAAGGGGTAGAGTACAAGAAGTGTGGGTGAAGCTGCAGGCATTGGATTGTCCTTTCCCGGGGGGCCCACCTGGCCCCAGGCTCCTTGCTTTCCCTGCTGCCCCTTGGCTCCCACAGGGCAGCTGTGGTAGGCCATCAGTGCTCTGGGTGTGGTGACCCGCTGCAGGGGCTCCGCTGGCCCAGAGCCTGGCCTCGCGGCCCCTTATCCGGCCTACTCGGTTCCCTCAGGCGTGGGCCCCCTGGTGGAAGTCTCCTCCCGCGTGGCCTTGGGGACTCCCTCTCTGGGAACGCGTTCTCACGGTGTCGCGGTTCCTGCGTCCTCAGCCAAGTGGAAGCATCCTTTCGATCGCTACCGGACCCGCAAGCAGGAGGAGAGGACCTCGGGGCACGCGCCCCTGATGCAGCAGCGGGAGATGCACAGGTTCCTCTACGACCAGCAGGTGGCGTGCACGGTGCTCCAGATCGAGTACAGCGGCAACGCGCGGCTGCTGCTGGTGCTGCCAGACCCTGGGAAGATGAGGCAGGTGGAGGCCGCACTGCAGCCGGAGACCCTGCGGAGGTGGGGCCAGCGCTTCCAGCCCAGGTGGGTGCGGCGCCGACCTCTGGGCTTGGCTCGCTGATTCCCCCTTTCCGAGTACGTGATCCTGGGCGAGGTCTTGCCTCTTTGGACCTCATATTTCTTCCCGTGTACAGTAAGGACCCGGAGGATTAATTGAGTCAGCATGAGACTGGCACTTGGACCCTAAGTGCTCATCGTGCTCATCACCCGATCCTTTGCGGGGCGTCCTCCTGGTCCCAGTCTCCTTGCTTCCCTTTTCCTCCCCGTAATAATTTGATCCCAGAAGGTAGCTTGGAATAGCTCAGAACATCAGATCAAGGACAATTATTAAGAATAATGATGACTCCTACAGAATAGTATGTATGTTTAAAAGGTCTTTCTACTTAATTAAAATGTATTTAAAGAAATAAATGCCGAAAAAAACAAGGTAGATGTGGTGCCACAAGCCTGGGAGGCTGAGGGAGGAGAATCAGAAATTCTAGTCTGGCCCAGGCAATTTAGAGACATCCTGTATCAACATTAAAAAGAAAAAAGGCTTGAGGGGTGTAGCACAGTGTGCTGGCCCTGAGTTCAATCCTCAATAACACACATGCACACACACATAGAAGAACACCAAAACCCACCAATTTTATGTGATCTTTCAACTCTTTCTTTCTTTCTTTCTTTTTTTTTTTTTTTTTTTTTTTTTTTTTTTTGTGTGTGTGTGTGTGTTTTTGAGACAGGGTTTCATTATGCAGTTCAGATGATCTGAACTCCCTTTGTAGGCCAGCCTGGCCTGGAATTCACAGCAGTCCTCCTGCCTCAGCCTCCCAAGTGCTGGGCTTACAGGTGTGCACCACCACACCCAGCCTCACCTATTCCTTTCCATCTCTCACTCTTTGGTTTGTGGTTCTGTTGTGGCAAGCTTATCTCTTTCTGGTTTCTTTAGATCTCCTTCTCTGGTCAACCCCTTCTTTATGGGGGGAAATCTGGTACTGACTTGCAGTTACCTTTTGCTGCAAAAGAAGCCACCCTGGAAGTAACTTGCTAAAGAAAGTAGGTCCTTCTCTTAGGTGCTGTGGGCTGACTGGGCTCCGCTGGGTGGCTGCCATCATGGAGGTCAGGTGGGCCCTGGGGCCGCAGCCACGGAAGCCTCCACCACTGTGCGTCTGCGGCCTGGACTGGGCAGGCTGAGAGATGGACTAAGCAGGTGTCTCTCTCCAGGCGGCACGGGCTGGGATCACCGAAGCAGAGCAGCTCAGTGTAGCTGACATTACTATATGGCGGCTCAGGGTCCTAAGCGGAAGTGCTCCCAAAGACAGGAAGTGAAAGCTGAAAGTGAAAGCCACCTCTTAAGGCCTCAGCCCATCACTGTACTGTTCAGACCAGCTACAGAACAGCCCCACACCACCAGATGCAAGGGCAGAGCTCAGAAGCCCCACCACTTGGTGGCCAGCAGTCCAGCACAGCCTGATGGCACTAGGTCCTCTTAAAAACCCATAGGCTTCTCTGAGGAAGCCGGGGTAGAGAAAGAGTATTTTGTGTTTGGGCGGAGATTAAAGCACCAAGTGAAAGAGAGGTGGTCAAGAGGTGAGGCCAGGATTTAAGGGATTATCTGACTCCTGTAACTCCAGTCAGCCAGGTTCTGGCTCAGTGTGAGTGGGCCTTCCCCACCCCCCACCGCAGAAGGGAGGACCAGAGAATCTTCTAGACCCGAAGATTTTCCCTCAGGAAGTGTTTGCTTTGACTTCTTCTCCTTCTAGTCTTCAGAAGACAAGATGAGCCCAAGTTACTCTGCTAAATCTAGGTTGTCCCCCGGGGTCAGAAAGTTCCAGTGTCATAGGATTTTCATGGCCTTTCAGACAGGAACACTTCATTATTTTTATTTTTTATTAGTGCATGTTTGCAGTGCATAACGTTCACATTCCTTGTGAGGAGACGATACCTGTGCATTACACATCTTAATTCTTTTTTTTCTTTTTCTAAGTTAATTGCCGAGAATTTATTTCATTTTTTTCATCTATCACATTTGTATTTGCTTAAGCATTTTAGAGCATTATAAAGGAAGTCACAGACACAATTTTAACATACCTACACATGCAAGCTTTAAAAATATGGATTTTTTTAAACAAGATTTAACTTATTCCTTTTCTTCTGCCATGGCAGAGAATAAGTGGAGATGGACTTCCACCAGCCGGGGCTCCTGTGATAGAAGTATCACTGAGATGGTTTGTTGTTACAACATAATCGGGTGCGTTTTTACTAGAAAGGTAGTAGGTAGATCTAGTAGTAGGTAGATGCATCTAGTAGGTAGATGCATCTAGTAGGTAGATGCCATTGGATGGGTACCACTGACTGCTTCACATCACAGGACTGTGGTCTGCTTGTTCCGTCTTCAGGGATGCTAAGACTCAGCACTGTGTTCATGCTTCTCAAACACACGTGGAATATCCTTCAGGGCAGATGTATAATAAAATATACCTTTTTTAATTTTAAAGAGAAAAATATATATATACACAAGATGATTAAGATAGTTATACTGCTAATTTCTCTCAGTTCATCGAAAACAAAGCTTTGTACTAATATTGTTTGGACAATTAATTGCTTATATCTTGTACTCTGAGTAAATAATTTAAAGATAACAATATGGAATCTGTTAACTGTTGTTACCCTCCTGTCATCTTGTTTTGAAACTTTGTGTTGTTTTTCTTTTTCTCTTCAAATATTTCATTTTTTAAGCTGTGGGGTAAGGTATGGTTTTATTTTGTAGAATTGTGGGAAGACTTACATAAATTGTTAGAGGCTACCAGTAGTCAAAGTTCTCACTTTTTTTTTTTTTTTTTTGTCACATGGAATTTGTATTTTTTTTTTTTATTTTAAGGATAAAAGGAGGGAAACATTAACAGACATACAACATTTTACAACATATAGTTCTCACTTTTAAAAAGTTGCTTTTTACATTATCCACTTTGCAAAGACAAGTTCTCATTTAAGAAATCTTAATAACATAATAATGTTGACGTCTCTGAATTTGTCTTATAGAACAGAAAAATTATGGGATTTGTGTGCACATGTGGGTATGTGTAATGTAGTATCTCCTAAATTTTCTTTCTTTCTTTCTTTCTTTCTTTCTTTCTTTCTTTCTTTCTTTCTTTTCTTTCTTTCTTCTTTCTTCTTTTTCTTTCTTTCTTTCTTCTTTCTTCTTTCTTTCTTTCTTTCTTTCTTCTTTCTTTTTTCTTTCTTTCTTTCTTTCTTTCTTCTTTTTCTTTCTTTCTTTCTTTCTTTCTTTCTTTCTTTCTTTCTTTCTTCCTTCCTTTCTTTCTTTCTTCCTTTCTTTCTTTCTTTTATTGAAAGGCTGGGAGTTGAACCCAAGGCCTAGTGAGTGCTAGGCAAGTTAAAAAGTTAAAAATCTGAACTACAAGTCTTTAAAATCTTTTGAATAACAGAGATGAAATTTAATTAATGTTTAAGTCAAATACTTCTTGATTTAAAGAACTGGAGTCCCATACACTAGTATTTGCACTAGGAGGTCAATAAGCCCTATAAGAAACTGTACTAGTTGCTTCTATGCTTTCTTTCTTTCTTTATTAGCGTATGTTTGCAATTCATGCAGTTTACAGTCATCTTGGGAAACTCTGATTCTAACTTCTCTCTTGGGGCAGTTCGCTGTTGCCCTGTAACAGTGACGTTGCCACAGGGTATTTGAGTAAGTAGTGCAGGATGCTTGTTGCCAGTGTAACATTGATAATGACAAGAACAGAACCAGATTGTTTTACAGTAAAGACCCCTGAAATAAGCTGAGTTCCCTGCAGTGTCTAGAGTTTATTATTTTAACAGTCATGGGGTTGTAATCCCTTATTTCACTTAGAATTCATGATTTCAATTGTGGTAAGTAGCTGAAACACTCAGTGTATTTCCTCTGAGCTACTTGAATACTTTGAAGGAAAAAAAAAAGTAAGGCATAACATCAAAGTCTCCCTAAGAAAATGCAGAATTTCTATGTATGTATTTTTAGAGTTTACTTTCTCGTTGAGTTTCTCTAGTTCCTCTGTATAAATGTTACTGGCATTTGCACGTTGGAAATGAATATGTGTTTATTTGTCAGACTGTCAATTCACTTCCATCCATCTATACACATCCATCTATATATTACTTATCCATCCATAGCTTACCTATCCATCCATATCTTCACACATTCTATGAAACATCCCCTCCCTCCCTTGTACCTTTCTTTTTCTCCTATCTTTCCACTCTCTCTTCCCTTCTTCCATTAGTTCTTTTTAAAATTTTTTCTTGGTACACGTGTGAGCGCATGATGTCTGCATTGCTGTGTGTAGTTGTCCACGTGCACAACGTCTTAATTTCATTTTTCACAGTCTGCCCCTCCCTCCATCTCTTGATCTTCTTTCCCTTAGAGAATGATCTATGTCCCTACTGCTTATTATCTATTTTTTAGTTTTGCTTCTCTGTGTTTATTCATCTGGTTTTTCATGCAAGAGAAACCATGTGACATGTAAGCTTGAGTGTCTGATTCATTTCACTTAACATTGTGGTTTTTGAGGTGCATCCATTTTCCCACAAATGACTGATGTTTTTCTTTCTGTATGGCAGAGTAGTGCTCCACTGTGTGTCAATACCACATTTTCTTTACCATTCATCTGTTGATGGGTATGTAGGCCACTTCCAAGATCTAGCTATTACGAATTGTGCTGCTTTAAACATGGGATGTATGTACCACTGCCATAGGATGTCTTAAACTCTTTCAGGAAGATACCTAGAAGGGGAATAGCTGGGTCAAATAGAATTTTTAGTTTCAGTTTTTTTAGGAATCTCCATACTGATTTCCGCAGTGGTTGTATTAGTTTACACTTCTACCAACAATGTAAAAGTATTCCTTTTCCCCAGAAGCCTTCTCACATTTGGTACTATTTGATTTCTTGACATAGCCAATCTTTCTTGGGTAATATGGCATCTCTGTGTTGCTTGAATTTGCATTGTTCTAGTGGCCATCAATGTTGAACATTTCTTCATGAATTTATTGGCCATTTGTACTTTTTCTGTGAAGTTTCTATTCATTTTATTTGCCCAGTCTTGACTAGATCTTTTATTTGGGGTGATCTAATTTTTTGAGTTCTTTATCTACTGTAGATATGAATCCTCTGTGTGAGGTACAGCTGGAGATCAGACAAGAATACTTTAGACACTGCCATCATGGCTTGCCTAGGAGCGTCAGGTATCTTTGGACACTGTCCTTTCATTCATCTCCAACACCTGCTGTGTGTCGGGCTCTCTACCAGACCCCCTCTATGCCACACTACTCAGTGCCACCCTTTATACCTCTAGCTTCTGCCAATGGCCTAGGTGTTGCCACCCAGAGCTGCTGTAAAAAATATGTCCGGTTGTCCAAGATGTCTTTCCACCTCACTTAGGCATCTGGACCTCCCATTGCCCAGGAATTAAACTGGCCACAATAATGACAACCCGAATTAGATTCACTGATTTGAATTAATTACAGATGGAAGCTTGCAAGCTGATTCTTAACTAGTTAATTTTGGAGGTGCCCTGGCAATTTTCGAGCAATAATGAAGGAAAGGAGTAACCCTTGGGAGAAAGTGATAGATGTGCCCTGGGTAACAAGACATTTCCGAACATACTGGGGGGCATGTGGCAGTCTGATGGTTAGGGAATCCCAGCTGCAGGAGGGACAGTGATTTTGCTGATTTGTGACTCAGGGTGGACACACACACTCCCTCCCCTGATCCACTGAGCACTCCTGCAGAGTGGATATTGCTACACCTCTGTGTCCCTTGGCTACAGAAGGGGAAGCTGAAACTCAGAGAGATGAGACACAGAGGGCCTGAGCTGTAGGGAGGCAGTAGATGTAGTTAAGATGTGCTGGAAGCTGAGCCCACAGAACTTCAGAGGTGGGGGTGGGAAAGTGTTCTCAGTACTTACTTCACACAGTCATCTGTGGATTCAGTAAGTTAAGTGTTGGTAAAACCCACTCTCCACGTCTAGCACCTAGAAAGCCTTCTGCAAACGTGACAAAGATGGTGGAGACAGGTGGCTCTGCTGGGAGGCTTCCTGGCCCCAGCCCCAGCCCCTAGATGTTCCGTGATGGCTGAAGAGAGGGGAGCCTGGGTGCGAGCCCAGCGGTGCGGTGTTCTGCCAGAGCAAGTCGTGTTGTGCGGGACAGGGAAGACTGATGGGCCCCGCGCTGGGAACCGCTGTTCTCTCTCACAGCTCAGGCTGCCTGCAGACAGCGTGGAAGCAGCACGGGTAACACAAAGGCTCTCTCTCTCTCTGTCTCTCTCTGTCTCTCTCTCTCTCTCTCTGGTTCTCTCTCAGCCTGCTGGATTTGCACTTGCCGAGGTTTTCCATTTCCGGAACATATAACCTGGAAGAGATCCTTCCCCAGATTGGTCTCACCAATATATTCGACGTGGGAGCCGACTTTTCAGGAATTGCCGAGCAGCTCAACAGAACCATCTCCCGGGTAAGGCTGTGGCTGCGGGCGTGTGGCGAGTGGGGCTTTTGCTCCTGTCACCCAAGGTGCACTTGAACATCAAATCCCCCATCATTGTCCTGTACTGGTTCTTCATAACTACAATCTTTTGACAGCTCCCCGTCTATCTTCCTTCTCTAGATCTGTATTCTTCAGGGGAGGAATGCAGGTTTCTCAGTGAAATAGAGCCTCACTGAGGTCATCCACTGAGCCAGAATTTTCCCAGGTGTGAGATGGCATTGCTTTATTCCTAAGACAGCTTTCTCGGGCAGCAGAGAGGTTCTGTTTGCCTTTTATAGCTACAGAATGGGGATGCACAGGAGATGAATGGTCAGCCCTACAGCTCAGCAGAAGGGCTTATTTCTTGTTCATATTACATGGCAGAGGCAGGTTCTACCGCTATATATCTGGTTCCCATGTCTTTTTCCTTCCAAGATACAGGGTGAAGGGGAATCCATGCCTGGGAGATACCATTCTCAGTGGAGAGGGGAAATTAAGAGAAAATGTGTCATGTCTCTTAACAGTTCTCCCTCACGTGGCCTATGTCGTGGCTGCTCAAGGCCGCTCTCAGCAGGGAGGGTCCGTGTTCTCCCTGCCTGGAGGCCCTGGAAGCCAGACTGAGTGACAAAGGGTCCATCACTCTCTAACAGGAAGAGGGAGTTGACACTTGGGAATAATAGTACAGGAGGAAAGGCAGCAAAGGCCCTTCCCCGAGCTTTGGTTGTCTTTGTTGTTTTATGCTAACGTGGTTCCTTAGCATGCAAGTCTTTGTTGGGAACTTCATAAGAAAAGCGTTCTGTCCCTTAGTAGGAAAGGACCAGCTGAGGGTTGTGTGTGCCACCCAGGCAATGGGGACATGGCCTTATGTGTGTGTTTGCACATGTGTGTGAGCACAGGTGCATGGTGGGAGGGTAAATAAGAAAAAGAAATGTTTCTGCTTTTGAAAGAACTTTTCACAGTGACCTCAAGTGCTACATGTATTTTTTCATAGTATTTTAGAAATACAAAGGATCATCAAAGTCAGTGTTTTTTTATTTCTTTAAAGTCTCAAAATCCTTCCCTCCCAGGAAATTGTGTGAAAATGAGGAGGAGGAGGAGAGGAGGAGGAAGGAGGGGGAGGAGAAGGAGGAAGTGGGGGGGGAGGGGAAGGGGGAGAGGAAGGTGGCTCTGTTCCACTGAGCACATTTAGAACACTATGGATCCAGGCGAAGGACCCATTTTAAAGATGAGAAGACTAACTCTCAGAAAAGTCAGGTATAGCTGGCAGAAGGAAAAAGACACCCAGCCTGGGGCCACCTGTGCCCAGGTGTGGAGAAGAGGGACCACTGGCACCTGGCACACTCAGGCAGCCTCAGCTTGTCTCAGGACCATTTATCTTCCTGCCAAAGGGCAGTGAGCACCGCTGGGTGAACCCTCAGGGGAGAGAAAACGAGGAAGGAGGGAATGAAGGGGAGACTGGAGCTGCTTTCTAGGCAGCAGGGCCGGAGCGATGTGGCTCGAGCTCAGTCTCATCAATGCCCCGGAAGGCAGCCTCTGCCCTCACAGCTCCCCTGACCTGTGCTGTGTCTGGCCCTCTTGTCTTTCTGTAGGTGTCACACAGGGCAGTGGTGGACATGAATGAGAAGGGAACCGAGGTAGGGGCTGCCTCAGGCCTCCTCTCCCAGCCGCCGGCCCTGAACACGACCTCGGCACCGCACGCCCACTTCAACAGGCCTTTCCTGCTGCTGCTGTGGGAAGTGACCACCCAGAGCCTGCTCCTCCTGGGCAAAGTCGCCAACCCAGCGGCAGGGTGACCTTGCCAAGAGGTTGGGGGTGTCTTCTCTCCCCTGGCCAAGCAGGAAGGCCAGCCCCAGCCTGCATGTCAGGCCGGCTGTGCGGGCTGGCGCACCCCTGGGCACAGACGCTAATAAAGTTTGGGTTTATGAACACTGAGGAATTGTGCCCGCCCCAGATTAGCTTCTGGCCGTCTCTCCATAGTCGCCTCAACCTGGTGTTTCAAGCTGTAGTTAAGAAAGTTGAAGATGAGAACAGCCCAGTTATGGTCTCCTGGGAAGTGGCTACCACTGCCACCACAATAGATATCTGCTGAGTGTCCTTTAGGTAAGGGTCACCGTGAAAGGCCCTAGGGACATCAGGAGTAATAAGCAAGTCTCTCCCTTCACAGAGGCCCATCTGGGCTGATAGCCAAGGGAGGTCCTCCTGCGATGTCTTCGCTCAGACATCAGAGGCTGCGTCACCTCTGTGGGTGCAGCTGAACCTGGGCCAGGACTGCCCCAGCCATGAGCCATGAAGAGCGGTGGTGTGGATGGGACAGCGCAGTCACGGGTGCCCTAGTGAGGGAGGCTAACTGAAGAGAGTGTCAGGGCCAGGGAGCAATCCCCAAACTGATGGAAATGCGAAGGTCAGTACAGCCAGGAGCAAGACGGGCACTGGGCGAAGCATGGTCACCGTGTGCATTTGGAGGCGGTGTTCAGTGGAGATGGGCACCCTTCAGCAATCGGGAGCTCGGGTCCCCCAGATGCGCCCATCCAGGGGGCATCCGCCCTGGACAGAAAAGGATGGTGCCAGAGCCACTCGTGGGCATGGTCATCAGGCTGCTGGGGGTAGTTCCCGGGCCGTGTGTTCTTGATGAGAGATTTCAGTCAAGACACAGAAAAGCACTGTGAGAGCAAAGGCAGAAATTATTGCAAAATGAGACAGTGCCGGGCAAAGTACCAGCATGAGGGAGGGAGTGGGCAGAAATCACGATGGCAGTGGTGCCAACTACAAGTTTAAGTTTTAGTTACATGATTTTTGTTAGGATGTTCTGTCTTTTCAGGTCCCTCTGTCCTCTTTGGAGTCCTTTCAAATGTTGATAAGACAGGAAACGACACTGGTGCACATTATTTGTACAAGGTCGGGTGAAACCTCCCCAGGGTCTACTTGGCACCAGCGCCCCTCAGTTAGATACTTTTGAAAGGACACTGTGGCTGGGAACGTTCCTTCGTTAATGTGGGTAGATCTTAAAATGTTACTTCTATTCTTTTCTAAACCAGTGGGCCATGGCAGCAGCAACTCAGAATGCTGAATGCCTCGATTTATTTTTAGAAACAAATATCCCTAAAGTCTTGGCTGACCACACAGTGCAGCTCTGCATGATGACTGACCTTAAGATTTCATCATACTGCGGAGGGTCAGTTTTGATCTGAGACCTACTAGATGGTTATAAAGACTGAGGCCTCTATTTCTTTGCTTCACCATAACTGGCAAAGCGTGTTGTTTTGATTCCCTTTGTCCCTCAAACCTCTTCATGTCTTACGTATGACAGAGCTCAGGTGAGATCTTCTTGGGCAAGATGACCCAGGGTGGTAAGATACACGGTTCTGTTGAAGGACAGCAGGGTTCTGGCAGTTCCAGGCTCATTCTGTCCCACCCAAAGAATAGGCCAGGACCATCAATGGTAACTTTTATTTAATGTAAAGGAAGAAAAGGGAAAAAAAATGAAGAAAATAGAAAGAACAAGTAGAGATGTGTCTCACAAGCAGCACAGGCCACTGCAGAAACAGGAGGACAGGAAAACAGAGAAATTGCAGTGGCAGCAAAATCAAAGGCCATTGCCTCTTGTACCCTCCTCGTCCCTCAGAAATTGTTATGCCCAGGCATCCCGGCTGCGGTTGACAGGTCACATCCTGTTGTTGATCAGCCTCTATTCTGGCTCAGGTTATATCCTGAGTCCTGTTTTCAGCCAGTCTGCCATGCCCTAATCTCCTGCCTCAGTTCTCTTTTCTGGACCTTTCAGCACCTTACAACAGAGTGTTTATTTTGTTCTTATTCAGTGAGTGTTAAAAACCGGTGAGCTATGAGGACCTCAGTAGGCATCTGGAAAGACCAAAGGTGTCCTGCTCTAGCCTACGGCCCCGTCCACCATAGTTCCCTGGCTGTAATTCCAAACAGAAGGAAAATGGAACTCCCAGGTTTGTGTGTTATAGTGCCGGGGCTTTGACTCAAGATCATTCAAAAATCCTGATCCACTGAACTGGACTCCTTGACATAGCACCGAGACCCAAGGAGCCTATTTTTCCAAAGCCCAAACCCTAATCTTGGGTCTCACCAGTAAGATGATCCAAAATAGCCAGTGGTAGGTGAGGGATGAAGGAATGTGGGGTGGAGGTGCAGACAGAAAACAAAGGGAAAGTGCATATGTCTCTAAAGGTTACTAAATGACTAAATAACATGGACACAGCCTGGGCTTCGAAGTCCTCTGACCTCAACATTGCCTAGAGGAAGATTCATGAGGTAGTGCTGAATCTCGTGTCTATGATGACTCCTGGCCAGCTTCACGCTCCAGGGAGGGAGTGTTTCTCATAGTAGTTGAAATCCCTCTCAGCACACTTTTATCACACATCTTTTAGGGGAAGGCAGTGACAGGAAAAGATGCTGATTCCACACCCGCTGCCCATCACCAAAAGCAAGCCTGCCCCCTGCTGGTTACAGAGAGTCACTGAGGACCTGAAGTCTGCAGGGGTTCCCCTCCTCCTCTTAGGGGTGCAGGGAAGGGAATGAAAGAGAGCACAGGGCAGGTAAAACACAAAGCACCCAGCAAAACCTAAATTTTAGATAAACAACAAAGAATCTTTTAGAATAAAGCAATATTTGGGCCATACATACACTAAAAGTGTGTTTGTTATTTATGTAATATTCAAATGAGTGGAGTATCCTGTACTTTTACTTGCTCAATCCGACACCTCAGGGAGAAGTATAGGTGGATCAGAGAAAAGAAAGTCACATGAAGCTGCAGGACAGGCTGGGGCTTTGGAGCAGACAGGAGAGAGCTCAGAGGAGAGAGCCGGGAGGGACAGCACCCAGGACCCTGTGTCTGCTGGGGCACAGATCCAGGTTGCCCTGCTGCAGACTGGAGCCCTGGTATCTGTTGCTCCATCACATACTGGGGCATCCAGCCTCTTGCCACGCTGTGGGGAAGGCCCTCCTGGTGGCCCCAGGTGTTTCAGAGCTGAGCGCAAATACAGAGTGAGCCCTGGCCAGGCCAAATGGGCCAGAGGACTTGGGTTTGTGGCTCCAATCCACCAACTTCTGGAGCAGCTTGTTAGTGGCAAAAGGTAGCTGATACAAAAGGAAAGGGATGCTGGGAATGGGCCTTGGGAATTCTAGACTAAGAAGGCCACGTGACCTACTGTGCCATGTCCTGGAGGAGCCATCTGCTCGCTCTTCCCAAGGAACGGACAGCAGGTGCTGCAGTGGCTACTTGTGTCTCAGGGGACCCACTGAACAGAGCCCTTGAGCTAGGAATGGAACTTGGTCAAAGGAAACCCATCCACTGGATGACCACTCACACATCTTTTGAATTGCTTATTTCTTTCAAGCCCTTTTGGAAGAAGAAGCCACTTTACAGGGAGACCAGGACAGACAACAAAAAAGCTGTGACTTTGAGAGGAACACAGAGTCGGCCTGCTGGCCTGGAGGTACACGATGATCACAGAGCTCACCCATGCAGATGTACTGAGCCTTGGTCCTAGTGGCCCGGTGGGCAGCGGCGGTGGTTCTGGCTGGTTCCTGTGTGGGTGAGGCCAGAGGGAGAATCTTGAGAGCTGCCAGCCCTGGAGACGCAGGTCTTGGCTGCCAGGTAGACAGAATGCAAGGGAAGCCCTGAGCCACGCCGGGCACCTTTTCAGCTGCTGGGGCACTGCAGGCACCAAGAGCCCTGCAGGGGTGGCTGAGGTCACAATGAAGACATCTCATCTAAAGCTTAGTGAACCCCTGCTGGGGCTTCCCCCAAAACCCTTAAGTCATTGTACTGCCACAATACCTGCATTCCGATGTTCACAGCAGCACAACTTGTAATAGCGAAATCCTGAAAACTGCCTGTCTCCCCATCAACAGATAATTGGATGAAGAAACTATGGTATCCATAGATCCTGAAACAGTATTTCGCTATAAAGAATGACAGATTTGAGACGTTTGTGGGAAAAACGGATGCACCTGGAAAATATAATGTTGAGTAAAATAAGCCAGAGAAGCTTAGATCCCATATGGTACCTCTCATTGAGTGAGGCAAAGTGCAAGCAAAGACAGCAATAAAGAATGGACAGAAGGGGATCAGGAGACGAATCTCTTGCAGTAGGGAAGTGGGCCAAGGGAACAAGCACAAGGGCTGAGGAGGAGGGGACGAGGAAGTAAGTAGAATAAAGATTTGCCATATACAAGAACTTAAGAACCTCAGTTAATGTAAACATTATATACCATAACACGAGCTAAGGTTTTCAATAGCAACAAGAATAAAAAACGGGATGGAGTAAATGGAGGTGGGAGGGAAGGGGATTTAAAAGAAAGAAACAAGCTGCAGTGTGCACATGTACCCATTCTCCAAGAGGATAGCAGACTTCATGAACTGCAAACACGTACTAGTAAAATAAAAAAAAAAGAAGCTCATAAATACAAGAAAATATATAGTTCCAGAGGACACCTTGGTCTTAGAGGGGCTATCATGGTCTAAAACTGGACAAAATCAGGGAGGGGGACACAGGGAAGTTAGGAAGAACAAATAAAGAGATAAGCCCACCTACCTACGGGTCAGGAGGGCTGCAGGTGTCACCCACTGCAAGGACCCAGGCAGGAACAGAGCAGGCTGGAGCAGCCACTGACAGCCTTCACAACTGGTAACAGAGCCTAGGAGAGGAGGCCTGTTGGGAGGATGGCTCCCAGTGCAAAAGCTGGCACTGGACTGGGTATCCAGTGGTGCCAGCTATAACTTTTATTTCGCTCTTCATTTATAGTTTGGGTTTTCTCATATAAGAGAAGTCGTGCAAAATTTAAACTTGTGTGTCTGATGTATTTCACTTAACATTATGGTCTCAAGGAGCATTCATTGAGAGCATTCAAAGGAGTTGTTTACCTTCTTTATGGCAGAATAGTACTCCATGGTGTGTAAATACCAC